TCCATATGGGCCTGCGTGCCTGCAGTGCGCGTGGATGTATGTGTATGGGGTATATTGGGCCTTTAACGCCCCTGTAACCAGCACTGTGTTCTGACTTTCTGATGGGAACCAGTTGGTTTTTGTTTGTTTGGGCAAAAGGAGTCACGGCTCAGCCTGAATCCCGCTCCCCGTCCCCATCTCCCCCGCCCTCTTGGTTCCTCGCGCTCCCTTCTCTGCTCTGCCCCGGGAGAGCTGAGAAGTGAATCCTCTGCCGCAGCTTTGGGGAGAGAGTTGTTCCTGTGAGCATCGGGTAGACTGCTCACTGTAGGAGCTGAGTGTGCTGGAGAAGGAGAAGACCCAACAAGCGTGCTCCAGCAATTGCAAATACAAGAGGCGAGCCAGAATTTTGGGTAGCTGGTCGTTTGTGGTGGTTACACTAGCCAGCCCCCGGGTTGCCATCCCAGGAGGCACATTGTGTTGCCTTCCTGTGCTGATGGCACCATGCGTGTTTCTGTCTTCTTAGCGTCACTTGGGCACAAAACAATAGGATTTGACCTGTTATAAAGCTTCGAAACTCATCCCTGTGAGTTCTGCGGAGCCCATTGCGTTGTGTGGTTGGTTATGTACGTGGTACTGGTTTCTAAGGAAGGGGGCATGGAAGATGCGAGTCCTGTGGGGTACATGTCAGCATGCACCAAAGTCAGCTGAGCTTTTGCAGTTCATGTTATCCATGGATGCTTTATTATCATTAAATCTTCTATACTATTATATCTATTATCATCAAATCTTCTTGTCCACTAGCAACCTGGTGTAGTGGAAGGTGTCCGTGCCCATGGCAGGGGGGTTGGAACTAGATGATCTTTAAGGTCCTTCCAACCCAAACCATTCTATGATTCTATGTAAAGTTCAAAAGCGTGTAACAAATAAGATGCATCCATTGAAATATGAGTTTGTTTTATGTTAGTTTTGACATGAGCAGCAGCCTGCAGCAAAATGAGCTGTTCCTGCTGTTGTATACTGAAAAATGCTGTGAAGCATGCACAGGCTAAAAGTTGCTGTTGCATGCGAGGAAAGATAGGATTTGCCCTATGGAGAAAGGTGCGTTTGATACTATTAATATTAAGTCTGTGATGCCACTTATACATCCACTTGTTTTTAACTCCCTTGAGTAGCCCAACTTATTTTACTGGTGCCACGTCTTGTAGTACCAATAGGAAGGTGCATCAGAGGTAGAAGACCTGGGAGCTGAAGGCCTGAGCTGTGGGTGAACTTCCCTCGCATTGGAATGGAACAACTTACAGTTTAGTCCATTTTGCACTTGAATTGCTGTTGGAATTTAATCTTCCTAATCTTTTGCCTCCTGCCTGACGGTCTTCATGGAGGGAAGCTCTGCCACGAGGAAGACTTAAGTTCTTACTGTGTCAGAAGTATCTGTTACTAGAGAAAAGAACCCTCCAGAAGACATTTTGGTTTATATATACAACAAATTTAAAAAGTAGTTTTAAAAACATGAAGTGTCAGTGATATTTTTAGAGGTGTGATGCCATATACCAAGATATTTTTTTATATTATATGCAGAAGACCTTCTCAATAATAGTTTGGTTTGGATTAAAATGTAGACAAATGTTACCTGTATAAAGATTTTAAAAGGTGTTTATGTATTTGCTGTTAACATGATGTTTCTTTCCTTTTCGTTTAAGTCATAATCTTGTAAAAATTAAGAATACTGTTTAGTTGACTATTTAAAAATATACTTCAGAATTAATTTATAATTTCTTGTTTTCTGAATGTAAAATTGACAGTTGATTCATGAGAGGACTGAAGAAAATTATTTCTATTTTATAAGTTCTGCAAAAGTTTTTGAAACTAGTCTTGTGTATCGGTTTATAGTTCTGGTATTTCAGCACAACAGAAATTGTTGAAGATTTCAGATTGACTCATTTGCTATCCATTATTAGAAGAAAAAATAATTATTTGTCTGAATGACAAAGCATTTTAGAATTAAAAAGGAAGCAGTTGTCTTAAATAATTTAGCTTCAGATAGATTTCACACTCATTTGCGTAGTAATATATTTACTCTATATGACCCTTTCACTAATTTAACAGAATAATTCCTTATATAATTCTTCTGTAGCATTATTATTTCTAACAAAGAATGTCTTTGATCCATAGGGATTTCTGTAGCAATAGCCTGAATGCAAACATTCTGAAGAATTGCACTTACCTAACAACAAAAGCTATATGGTTTGTAAAACATGAATGAAAACTAATGCGTGTGTGAGCTCACTTGCTGAAGTTTCACTCGAGTCAGCGAAATGGAAGTTGAAGTTCATCTCAGCGTATTTTAGAAGGTCCTTTTCATTTAAAAACAATGATAGAACCTGTGGAAGTTTGTGGATGCGTTTAACTCGTTTGAAAGTGATGAACGTGACAGTTCTATTCAGACAGTTGATGGTGCTTAACAATACATTGTACCTTTCTTTTTTTTCTTTTTTTGTTATAAGCTGCTGCACGGACCTGAGAAAGGCCTTTTTTTCCTTTTGTATGGAAACTTTCTGTTGTTGTGGCTACTGACGGCTCAGCAGAATGTGTTGTTCACGGAATATAGGATGTTCTGTGTCAGTGTTTCTCCCTTTTTTTTTAATTTAAAAATATAAAATTACAATATCCAGTAGCAATAGAGATGTGTTTAATCTAAATACGCACTTGACTCAAAGAGAGTGCATTCAGCCTAGCAGTGGTGAATAAGGATTCGTGCTTAATTGGGACAGAATTAGTGGGGAAGTGTTTGGCTGGGTGAAAATGAGAAACTCTCAGCCTTGCCCTGGTAATAAAGGAGTAGGCACATAAAGGTACAAAGAATAAATAAAGAGGAAATGCAGTAAGGTGTTTTTTTTACTCAGTACAGTACATGTAAATATAGTGCCATATCTATACCTATACACACACTTGTGTACATGGTACTAAAATAGTCATTGTATTTTCTTTTTCTGTGCTCTTGACTAATAAATAAATAGTATGTGTCAACTGAATTATTTTTCCTGTCAGTCTTTATTCAAATCAAACTGGAGGCCTTTTTCCGTAAGGAAGAAGCAAGGCAATTTGGTTTTAGTTTGTAAAATTGGATGAGTGAATAAACTAGGGTGGCTCAGTAAAAGGATTATGTTGTACAGGTGTGTAATTACTTATGGGGCAAATTGTGCAAAATATACTGTATATTTGTGCAATAATTCTACTAACAATATGGAAAATATTTTCCAGAGGTAGCAACAGCTTAGCAATTGTAGAATTTGTAGAATTTTGGTGATTTGTAGAATCACCAAAAATAGATTTCTTGGAGGTTTTTTTTTAAACTTTATGAAAATAGAGTCTGTTCTTTTAGCATCTGCATGACTCAGTAAGGAAAAACTTTTCTAAATCGTTTCATTTGGAACATAAATAATAGTTTTCTTTTTTCCTTTTAGAAAAGATGCAAATGCCGCATTGCTGAGTAACTTTGAGGTGAGTTTATCTGCATCCTGATTTTAAACCAGCAGTTTAAAGCTCTAACCAGTCACTTGTATACTTCTTCTGAAGCTGAGAATTGCCAGTGGCAATCAGCAAGACCTGTGTGTGATTTCCACCCCACCCCACATTTGATTTGTTTTTAAGAAAAAAGCTTATTAAAGAAGATCTGGAAATGTTTTTGCTAGTAATGGGTACTGTATTATTATTTGTTTGGTTCCAGATCTATAAAACCAGATATAAATATGTTTTTCAAATAGATGAAGAGCAGATGTTCAGAATGGTAGCTTTAACTTCAGCCTTGCCACGTTTATACTGTTTCTGTGTGGTTAGTTTGCTGAATCCTCTTGTGTATCGTGGTTTGTTACTTACATTTTGATTCTCCACATCTTTAAACGCTTGTGTATTTGGGCAAGTGAACTGGATTCAGTGGTGCTTGGTATGATGTGTGGTGCATCGGATCCCAAATCGGGAATGTTGACACCTCTGTAACTGGGCAGCAATGACCAAGATAGCTTTTTTCTTTTTTTTTTAATTTTAAATTTTTGTCTTACAACAAGCCAATATACCACCAAGTGAGTGACGCACTGATAGCTGGAGTCTCTTTAATATTGCAAATAAAAATTCTCGCAGAAAAATTCAAACATTTTTCACAGGTGGCTGCTGCTGAAATCAGTGTTTTGTGTTTAACTTCAGCCTTGTAATGTGCAGTATCATCTAAGAACCTGTAACTCATTAATACATAGTTTTATTAAAGCCAGTGCTACTGGAAATGGAGTCTAACACCCCTGAATACTTGGCAGGATTTTTTTTAAAGATCTTGAGGCGTTTCCGAAGCAGGTTAGGTGAGGCAGTTTGCTGGTTGTGTTACTCAGGATAAACACTCCTAGGAGCCAGTAATGTACCTTGAGCTGGTGTCATGGGAAAGCTACAGTGCCCTGTCATAACAAGCAATAAATACTGGTGTACAGATAACAAATACAAAAAATAGTCATATTTTCTAGTGTAGGTACAGTCTGGACTATTTTCCTCTCTCCTGAGTAAAGGTATTTTTTTAGTGAAGTAGAAAGAAATGTAGTGTTCTTGTTGGTTTAGCTTCAGCCAGGTAATGGAAAGATTTCAGTGCTTTGTTTGTGAGTGTAATTTTTTGAATGCTTTTAATAACCCAAGTGCTTTGTTTTATTGCTGCACCTTGAAAGCGGCACAGCTGTTTCATCATATTCTGAAATAAATCTTGAAACGTTTTATCTTGAGCTGCGCCTGTTTGCGAACAGCAGAGCAATCTATTAGAAGGGCTTTAATGAGATCCTTGGAAAGAACTGTCTTGCCTAAGAAATAGATAATATTATGTATTAGACACTAGTATTAGTGTCTGTTAAAAACACATACTGTTGCAGTACAGAAAATAGAAAATATTTCAGAGATTTATTTATTGCAAAATCATCTCTGCTTCCTTCCTCTTCATTTGCTGGGATGTTGTTGGGATCTGGGTGTTACTGCGTGCTGAGGTTCAAGTGCTGTCAGCCACAGTATGTAAGATCTATAGGTGTCCTAAAGGTGTGATCCGGAACAGGGAGGATTGCAGAATCCGTGTTTGGTCAGACTTTCTTCAGCTGAGTCTCTTTGTTGGCGAATGTACCATGTGTGTTGAAAAAGAGCAAAAGGAAGTGGAAAACGAAGTTACTGATGGGAGTGCTTATTTCTCATTTCCCTTTCACAGCACGGTTGTCACGCACGCAGCTTTGCGATGCTTTGCAGCAAGGGATTTGCAGTGTCTGCAGCTATAGGCTTTTGGGGCATGGCTTTTCCCTGCTCTTCAAAGTACTGATTCCCCTCAAACTACCCATCTCTTTCTGTTTTCTCCTCTTTTCAGTCGCAATTTGACTGGCATAGCTAACATCCTCTTTATCGAGGTAACGTTTTGCACAGAAAGTGGTGTTTTGAACGGAGTATTCAGGACTGACATGTTGTATGTTCCATGCCTACGTTTCTTCTGTGAGTTTGGAGTTGTCATTTTGTGTTTTGTTGTCACTGGCTACGTTTCCTTCAAGTATTTATTGGATAAAAGCTCATAGCTTGAGTTTTGGCTTTCAAGTCAGGATTAACAGGTGTTCCTTTTTCATAGAAGATGCAATATAAAGTAATTGCAGGATTCGTAGCCGGTAATGTTCTTATTTCTTGTTGTCTAGAAATGTTTGTATTCTTATTTCTATGGACTTGTCAGCTTATAATACCATTGGAACTGGATCTTGAATGAAGCTAGTTAAAAATTAGGGGATGAACAGTAAGAAGTGGTGTGTTACTTTGCTGTGGTTATTGGCTCTGGATATACCATAAAGCCTGAAGCAAAACATCTGAAGAAATTTCAACCTAATTGTGATGCTGTCTCAATATTTTGCTGCATATCTAGCTATAATGAATAAAGATGTTGCGGTGTTGCAACAAATTTGACAAAGCACAGTTGGAAAAATGAAAACATTTTCCTTGTCTTCAGACTTACCCTCCGAATCTCACCCCTGCATCAGCATTCACTGTCTCATAAATGTGAAGACAACTTTATTACATTCTTTTCAAGAGTGTCTGCTTGTTTTACATTGTTGTGATGAAATAGGGAGCTAATTTAATCTTTGTAGTTTAACGTACCGTAACACCATACCGGTCACTGTAACATTTAGTATTATGAATAACTCCACTGGAGTTTACAATAGGATCACTAATCTCAGGAGCATCTGTAGGTCAAGCCTTTATTTAGCTGGTTCCTGGTGGTGTGACCAGTTGTAGAGTTTACTTTTTTTTGCAGATAATGTAAAATTGGATCTCTGTGAGACAACATTTACATTCATTTTAATATCATAGATATATCTGTCATAACAAATCCAGTAGGGCCATAAACTTGTGTGACATTTTCAAACATCGCTCATATTTAAATGGGGGCTCTGTGCCAGTACAGCAGTGTGTGACCCAACTCTGTTCAGGACATAAGATAAATAAGTAGAATAGATTCATCCTGGCAGCTCTCCTTTGGGGGTCTTGGATAACATTTAACAAGTGCTGAAAATGTGTTTGAAATAGTCAAGATTTCTAAAAAACAATTTACATACTTGTTCACCCATTCTGGTGCCAAAACATTTTTCATGTCATTTGCTTGTGCATTCACCAAAGAAGCCATGCTCTCTGTTGTTTGGTTGAGAGGATTTTGCATTGTTCATTTATGTTTTCCTGTTGTAATATTCTTAGGTAAAATATTCTCAAATGGTCTGAAACATTTTATTTTTTTCCCTCAGGTCTTCCAGTTACTTACTGATCTTAAGCAGCAGCGCAAAGAGAGTGGAAAAAACAAGCAGAGCTCTGGTCAGCAGAATCTGAACACAATCATGTATGAGGTGAGTATTGTGAAATCTCTTTGCAAATTAGCCCAAGCTGGAGTAATTCACATCCTCACATCCGTATCCACATATCTGTATGTTCATGACTTTCTATCAAATTTCCCCTATTAAAAAACACAGTAAATTATTATTTTTTTGCCACTTTTCTGTGGTCAGTTTATTCAGGTTGTGGGCTAACTGCGCTGTCAGGGCAGAGGCATGCAGCAGCTCTTATGAAAATCTATCACAAAAAGAATAAAAACCAAAACAAACCTCTTTTTTAACTGTTTAGCTTTGTGTGTGTTTTTTTTTTTTTTATTCCAAATATTCTATCCTTTTAAGAGCCAGGACAGAACTTGGCTATCATCTGATGAATTGATGATACCATGAATTCATTATTTCAAAGTTGAGGCACAGGTCACATATGGTGTTTTTTTTATTAACAGAATTAAACTAATAATTTCCAACTAAAATAGGTGGTTGTGGGTTTTTTTTGTCAAAAGAATAACAGAATCACACGTACGGATAGCAACAGCAGTTGGATGCCAGATTGATAATAAATGTTTAATCTATTGCTAGGAAGAATTTACAAATATTAACATTTTAAATATCTCACATTAGCAACCTCGTAACAGACTTGCAGTATGACCTATTGTGTCTGTGTCAGAGAATTGCATGAGTAGCACCACGTTTGGTACGAGTTGAAAGCAGTTTGCCTTGCTTGCATGAGTAATCCCGTTGAGCAGTGAAACTACTCATGTGAATAAGATTTGGCCTAGGCTTTGTTTTTGTTTTAGTTCTGGCTTTGAAAAGGTATAGAGTTGTAATTCCCAAGCCTCGTATTCAACAAAATAGGGGCTTAAAAAAATCTAATTTAAATCTTCATGGAGACTAACAGTCTCTTCCTGTAGCTCTTTGAAAACAGCTGAGAAAGATCCTGTAAGTATATTTTATCAGAACGCACCTTAAAGCTTTAATTGCCTTGTTATATTGCTACATTAACGTTAAATACCTATAGGATGCTCGGTTTTGTGCATGGAGTGAAGCTGCTGTAAACTTTACGTGTATTTTCTCTATATTTAACTAAAAAAAGATCAAAATTTGATCTTACAGGATTGTCTTTGCTCATGCTGAGTCTATCTTCATAAGCTCTGTGTGGGCTCGTATCCATTGGTACTGAAATAATGAGATGAAGCTTGCTAAACTGGAGCTACGTTTTGCTGTATGTCTGGCATTTTAATTGATTTGAAATCGCCAAAAGACAACTAAACTGGAAAAGAAATTACTTCTATTAAACGATTTTGTTACATGACAATATTTCGTCAATGCTCGAGCTGTTAAGTAGGGTGAATTATCCTGTGTTGATGAAGTCCATTTTCCTTTACCTAGCATTTTTAAATGAGAACAGATACACTGTTAAATACACTGGAAATACATTTGTATGTTTTCTTATTTGATGTACTGATCTCGTAGCTCATTTTTTACCAGTGTCTCTTGTTTTCTGCTCTGTGAGTCCTGTTTCAGCTTTTTTGACTTCTGACTTTTCAAATACAAATATTCACTTTAAAGATTTTCTGAGAAAGAAACTCTGAGTATCATAGGGAATTTTATGGGGTTTGTTGTTGTTGTTATTATTACTAATATTAATCTGTGCATGTGGTATCCTACCACATGTGTCTGTATTTGCAATCCAGTTAGTGCATGATGAGTCAGTTGTATTGATACTTTTAAGCTTTATGTATAGCTGTGCAGTATCACCAGATGAAGATTTTCTTCCTTAATTCCAAACAAGCATTGGCAATACTCTCCTAAATCCTTCAGTTGCTGATGCACACAACTTGCAGACAATGTAAGGATTTCCTTGACTTTTCCGTTGATGCTCATTATTTCCAACTCTTCGTTTTGAGGTCTAATCCAAGCAACTTTCAGGAAGATTCTGAGCTACTTCCAGTGAAAAGACAGCTGGAATTTGTGTGGTGGTTTTCTTATTGACAAGCTTTTTTTTACTCAGGTCAAGTTACATTATGTATTATCTGTCTGCTAGGTGTCATATTGTTTTAAATAAAGCAAGCAGATTTAACATCTGCTGCAAAAGTTAGCTGAGGTTGGTAGGTGTTGTATGTAAAAAATGGAGCAAAAATAAATTGTCTCAAGTCAGATAAACATTTCTAATACTACAGTATTCTTGCTGATTTTCATGACAACCCACCTAACTTGCTTCTATGAACTAAGAAAGCATTGCCAAATACGCATATAAAGGGTGAAACCAGCCATAGATTGAAGAGCTTAATGACTTATTTATGGGTTGGCAGTGAGAGTATCCCTGGCACTGAGCACATGAAAACTTGGCAGAAGGTAACATGGTTTTAAGGATGCGTAGCGTTCAGCTTTTGCAAAGCATTACTGCTTTTAAAAAACAATAACAAAACACAACAACAACAAAAGCAATAAAAAAGAAACATCACCAAAAAACCCCCAACAAAACCATGTAACTTTTTAAGCTAGCTTTGAATCTGTAAGTGGTTGTTGGTTTTAAAAAGAAAAGTAGATCTGTCAGTGTGTCTTGATCACAGTGTTAGCATCACCTGAGATTATTTCAAACCAAGAAAGCAAATGTCTTGCACAAACAGCAGGTGTTTTTTTTTTAGTAGACAGAGCTAAAACTCACTTCTTTCCTGTACTCTTCAGCATGTGACTTTGGGCTTTGCACAGATCCGATAAAAGCTGCAGAGGGAATAGTCAAAGCTGTAAGTCTCACCTGGGTGTGTAATGAGCTGGCTGGGTCATGTCTTTACGGAACGAATTCCCTGGGGCTTGCTGGATAAGTACTAATGTTTCATTACACACAGTTGTAGTTACATATTGTCTGTTTCTTACTCCCTCAGCAAATATCAGTATAGTCTTACTGAAGACATAAAAGTGTGAGTGATCTATGACAGCACTTCCCACTGTTAAAAAAAAAAAAAAAAAGTAGTAAAAATCCAAACCCTGAAACTTGAATTGACTTTTCCAATTTTTCTCAGTAGTGCTGAGGATTCTTTTTGACATCGGCTTGTTTCATACACAACTGGTAAAGCAAATTGTGAAATAACGTATACTTTCTATCCATTACAGACACTGAAGTACATTTCAAAAACACCCTGTAGATACCAGAGTCCTGAGACTGTGAGAGATTTCCTCGTAGCAATGAAAGGCCATAAGCTAACCAAGTAAGTAGAAATATGCCTTTAAACAAAAGTATAGACTCATGGAAATGTTGAAAAACTGATCCCCATGTACACAGTATGATAATCTGTCCAGCTTTGATTAACGTATTTTAAGTATTTTCTGCCATTATTTAAATACTCATCCAAACATCTTTTCCTTCACTCGGTAACACCATCGTGGATGAGTGTTTCCTTAAGTGGGTCTGTGTTTACCGATGTATTTCTCAAGCAGATTCTTGTTAGTTTGTTGGGTTTTAGCATGGTTTCACATGGTCCAAGCCCAAAGTAGAGTTCATAAAATGTTTTCTGAGGAGGAAGTTGTAAGTTGTGAATAGGCTTTGAACACAGTAAGACAACTGCAAAAAAAACCACAAACCCAACCTCAGTTTATTATCAATCTTGTTTTTATGAACTTCCTTGAGCAAAAATGCATTCGTTCCTAAGAGGTTAAAATAAAAAGAGTAAATAAAATCCTAATATAGACATATGGGAAATAATGTTATTCTGAAGCTAAGTTTTATGGGAATCTGTGAACCCCAACTGCTACAGATCATCTCTCGGGGTCATGCTCTCTAACTGGTGTTTAGCAAACTAAGATGTTCATCTTCTCTTTTTGTGCTGTTTGTCCACTAATATTTATGTCCACAAGGATTTCTGAGGTGCACATTTCACTACATCAATCAACTTTTTCCCCCATAGTTTCTACTAAAGCTGAACATACTACTCGTTATTGTTACTTTGAGAAGTCCTACATAGAAAATACAAGATTTCCTTCACAGTTACAAGAAGACTCAAAGGGCATTTTTTCCTCTTTGGCGGTGGTGTGAATGCCTGTTCACAGTGCTTGAAATACATAATTCTCTCCAGCCTCTCTCCAGAGTGTGAGTGAAGCCTGTTGTATATATTCAGACCCACAAGAAATTGAATCAGTTGGCTGCTTGCTTGGATAGCTCTAATCAGTCATCTGATTTTAAAGCAGAAAGAACAAAGATTTAGTTTCTGCTAAATGACTCCCTCTTCACCACAAAGGAGTAGTTTATGCTGTATAGACACTGACTGCGTTTTTCTTCTCTGCTGGAAGGACTCCCAAGGAGTTCATGCTCTGGGAAGGAGGCTCTTACTAATAATCTGGTTGTGGCACAAAAAGAAATGTGAAGTGAGACCATCTGGAGGGCGCAGTGCTGCAAGACAAGTTTTTACCCTGTCCAAAGCATAGTAGGTTGAGTAGAAAGCAGATTGTCAGCTATTTTGTTAACTTTCAGTGCCCCCTCTCTACAAACAGTTCTGCTCACATCCAGTGTATCAGCAGCTCTGATCACAGTATTGCTGTCATTGCAGACACAGGGGTGCTGGTACTTGGAAGCTTTGTCATGGGTGTTGTGACTTTGCTTGTAGTGCTTTCTTTTGTAGAGCTAAACTTGCCAGGTCAGTGTGTCATCCTTTAGTCCTCCTGTAGCTCATTTTATATAGCAGGAAGCTAATTTACGTAGTGGGCAAGAATACCCTTATTATTTTCCGACGTTGAGGTGTTCAAGTGTGGAGAAAATCCTCTGTTTACTGTAAAGAGCTGATAGCATGGAAATGAAAGAGAGTATCTCAAAATCGGCAACAATTTTTTCGAGTAAGTAGTGATCATCCCTGATGCCTGGTACTGTGAAACAGTCGTCCTCTTTGGAGTGAAAACAGTCGTCCTCTTTGATGTGAAAAAAAGCTTGTTCAGTGTGTGCAGGGCGGTAGTTAGGAAAGCACCAGCAGAATGCTCTATCACAGCAAAAAGCCAAGGGGAGTTAAAAAGGCAGAATAGGGTTTTTTAGAAGCAGCTGAATGAGTTGGATATGAGAGTCTCATTAAAAGTCAAAGGGCTTTTTGAGTTTTAAAGCTCATTTCTAAACTTCTTTCTAGTAGAATATGACCAAGACCTCACGGTTAACTTCTACAAAACAGGCAGGAGAGCTCTATGATGACATTAGATACTTTGACTGCATCTTCTCCCCCATAGGATGTCTCTGAGAGTGAAGTACTGAATGATGTTGGGTCATAGCACGGAGAATTCTAGCTACAAAATGTTGTACAGTCTGCCATACTGCTTAACTGTTTTGTGGAAGATCTACCCAGATACTCACCTTCCCAAGCCTACTTATTCTTTGAACTTGAATACAGCAACTGGGGCATAGGTTGAAATAGTTACAAGCTTTAAATGAGCTTTTTGACTGTTTTACCTCCTTTTTGTGAATGCTGGAAAGTGCCCTTAGTTTTAGGTATCCTCTTTGTCCTTTTTTCTGTCAGTCATAAGTAAGATAATTACTCCCAAGTAATTTCCTTCTGCATAATGGCAGAAAAACAAGAGTGAAGAGCCATCCACTGGTTTAGGTTACAAATTTACTGTGTTTATGGCCTATCAGAACTCAGATTGAACTGTAATACCTTTCTTGAGCATCCTCTGCAACTTTTAGTTAATATCTTTGTCATCTGGTAAAGGACTTGCCAGCACTGCATTTGCCATATACTTTACAAAATAAGAAAGAGAATCGTTTGGTGTGATCCTGTCACTTTTTTTCTTCTCATCTTTTCCATTTAGACACTTAAAGCCAGAAGTATCAGAGCCCATCTGGCAGCCTCTTTTCACCAAAACACAAAGCATGTGGTGTGCAATTACTATATAATGCACTTCATGTTAAACCACTTAAAATAATAATGCCTCCAAGGAAATTTTGAACGACTCTTTGGTTCATAACCAACATCATTTCAACACTGCTCTGTTGTTAAATAAATGAAAAACTAAAGACTTTAATCATTTCCATTCTGTGGGATGGAGGTGGTATTTGTTTAAAAGGCTTCGCCAGAGACTTTGTTGCAGTTAGCTGGTAGAGAGCTTTCCTCCCCCTTGAGAGGAAAGAACCTGCAATGTTTGCTCTCCAGGACCTTGCTTACATGATCTCTCTGTAACGAACTTTCCTCCCGCAAAAAGTAATCAACTCCAGAGTCTGTCTTTGCTACTTCCTTTCTGGGTAAGGCATTCAAAGTTGTGCTCTCTCCTTTAATCTCTTAGCTGGTCGTATGCTGTCCTTGCTGGTAGCCCTTTTCTGAAGGTCACTGATTTGATTTGTGGTACGGATTAGTTGGTGTCTGTCCTCAGTGAGGGCACAGCAGCATTTTCTGTGCTCTCGTTGCAAGAGGAATAGAGGTTCTGGTCAAAAGGCACGATTAGTCAGAAACCCCCCTCATCTTCACCTGCTTCCTCTGCCGTTTAAATTCCGTGTTACGACTCTGCCTTTAATCAAGGAGGAGGCAATTAAGCAGTGTGTTTCTGCTGTTAATTAGGCTTAACAACTTCTTTTCCAATACAAGGACTTCAGGCTGTGACTATCAGAAGGATTTGCAGCTGTATCTGAAAACCCGGTGGAGGTCGGCAGTGAGGAGCTGCCGCTCCCTGCGCAGCGCGTTATTGCAGCACGGCAGCACTAGGTTGTGCTGCTGTATGCGAGAATTTCGAGGCAGTGAGGAAAGACCAGTCACCATCCAGAGAGGCATCAAGAAGTGAGGCACGTTCATTTAGAGAACGGAGCTTTTAATCGAGTGAATTCTCACTTTTCCTGCTCTCCTACAGACCACCGGTACTAACCATGCAGAATGCATTGCTTGTCGGGCGACATGCGATGTCCTAAAATCTTCTGGCTCCGGTTACAGAGCTGGTGGCGTTGTGCTGGCAGACAGTGTGGTTCCTGTAAAGTCACCTCAAGTCTTCTCTTTCTGTTATTGCTGATATTTGCTACTCAAAATACCGGTTTAACAAACCAGCATGTCTTTTCTGCTGATAGCCATCTATTTTGTGATGGGTTTTTCCATTTAGTATTACAAGCAGAAAAAAAAAAATCCTAAAAGGGAAATTTCAAAAATATAAAAAAATAAATATCAACTTGTACAAATAACTTAAACCTTTCAGAATCATTTCAGATAGCTGCTAAATAGAGCAAATTCAAAGACATCTGAGCATATATTTCACTGATATAGTCAGTAAAGTATGATAAAGCACAGATTTTTCCTTGTCATCAGTTATTTTGGTAAAATCGAAACTGTAGAACTGAGATTTTTTTTAAATTAAAGGCTCTGAACTGACATCATAGTGAATTTTATTATTACCTTGTTGAGGCCTCAAGCTTTGGCTAACGCTACAGTACAGTAAGCATGTTGCATTTGGAAATACAGTATGCCACTAGCAGCTAATTTTCCATTTTTAGTCCCTGGAATAGCTTCATATTTTGTAAGGTAGTGCGAATGGCATTGCATGAAAAGAACATTTTTTAAGCTTGCACTCTGTAATTACAGTTAAATGAAAATTGACTCTACTTGTACTTCTTCCTGCTACTGATAGCCAATCTTAGATGTAATTTTGAAATAATCAAATTTCCAATCACTGCATATTATTATAATTTAAAAAAATTGGACATAAACATTGGCCTTTTTGTCTTTAAATCAACACATTCAAGGAAGCGTTGAGCTGAAAATCAGTAGTACTTTAAGAAAGTATTTTCCCTCATTACTGCCAAAACCTACAACAAATATAAACCTCTGCAATATTAAAGGCTGAATGATTTACTTTGTAATTTTTGTCTCCTCCAGAGCTTTCAAAGTGAACATTCAACACCAAAGTCAGGATGGTGCTAGTTTAACAACAGGATCATTTAGAAGTCTTTAAAAAAGACCATTGTGTTTCCCACTGAATTGATTGGAAATGAACCCTTTGATCTGTATTAGTGTTGCTCAGTTTTTTTGCATTCAGGTACCATTATCAGCCCTCAGATTTCAACCTGCACAAACGTACCGACATCGAAGGGCAGTGGTAACCCCTGCAGAGAACAGAGCCTGGTATATTTGCACAGACCACATGCAGACTGGTACTGTGATTTCACAGACCACAGCTCAGGACTGCTCATCTGTAAGCCACATCCTGTGATCTCCACTCAGATGACATTCTACATGAGTTGCTGTGGTCGACTCAAGAC